CCTAGCTCAGTGCCTGGTACATGGGAGGAGTGCTCCATGCATGGGAGCAGGTAAGTGGGCTGATGGACTGAGCATCTAAGCTGGGCAGCAGGGACACCCACCGAAGGCATAGCCAGTATTGTCCACTCCCCAGTGATGCTGGTCAGAGAGGAAAAAAATGCAAATATGATCCAGCGCCTAAGAGGTGGCTGCACACCAGATTCCATCTCTGAGAGCATTGCCCACACACCAGCTGTGGTGGGTGTCAGGGCTGACTGGAGGTGGGACTGCATCTGGGGGAGGAAACATCCCCCTCAGTGCCTACTCTGCCTCTAGCCCCCAACCATGTGGATTCCTCATCTGGGACCTGGCTCTCTCTTTCCCCCCAAGACTTGCTCTGGGTTTTGCCAACAACATTGGGGAGGCAGTCATCGTTCTGAGAGTCAGATGAATGTGCAGAAAAGGCAATGCTCCTTTGTCCACGGACATAGTTTCACATGTGATTAAGGCCCCTGAAGTCCACTCTAAGCGGGGATCAGTCAGGACGGACGAGAACGTTTGAAACTGTGGCAGGTCTGGAGAGCCTGGCCATGGAGAGGGCAGTGCCACCTTCTTGCCCCCCACCCTCTGCCAGGGAGATCTTAAGAAGGGCTTCAGGTCAGAAGGGACCCACAGCCCGCCCTCCTGAGTTGCACTGAGACTAGGGCCAGGGGAGCGGGCAGCTTGGGAACCGGTCTGCCAACCAGTTTAACCAGGGACTGGTTTCGACTCAGGGAGTTCAAAGGCAGCTGGGGTGCAGCCTGTCTTGTTCTCTTGCTGTGCGCCAAAAGGAGCAGCCGGCCAGCCCTTAACCCTTTCCCAGTTATGCCCGAGGCAACAGCCAGGTGGTAGTTCTTGCTGGAGAAGGGTCTGGGCTTCTTGTGGGGGTGGAGTGGGTGGGGTTGATTTTAACTATAGTTGGGGAAACCACCAAGCAGCCCAAGGGTGGAGAAATTGAGGAGAGAGGCTCTTGTGCTCCCTGACCCTGGACTCCCCTTGGGATTCCCTCCTCCAGCTTGGTCCCTGGAGGACCCTGGAGTCTGGGTGGGTGCAGGGGCCCTGAGGTTGGGTTTCTGGGGTCATGAATATTCATCAGCTTGCTGGCCTCTGCTTCTATTTACTTAACCGGGAGGGGCTGGGTTTCAGGTTCACCTTGACTCCTGAAGCCGAAGCAGGAGCAGGTATCCGCTCCTACACCTGTTTCTCTTGCACCTGACGTGCAGCTGCTCCTACCCACCTCTCCTGGCTGGAGCCTGGCCTGGTGCGGCACCCTGGAGACACCCCCACCTCCCCCAGTCTCAGCCTCCTGGGCAGCTCCTACACCCGCTTCTTCTCTAGGGAAGGTTTCACCTCCAACCCGGAGCAGTGAGGATTACAGGTACAGACAGAGGGCAGGTGGGTGGGGAATCCAAGGCACAGTCCCCAGACAGGGCACCCAGTTTTGCTTCTGAGGCTTACAAGCCCACTGAGTAGGAGAACCCAGGCAGGCTGTCTCCCACCTCTCCATAGGTAGGCAAGCAGGACTCCGGACCCATTGCTCTGGCTTCTTGGAGTCAATCCAGGTCTCCAGCAGAGCTCCTTCTGGGAACATTTCATTCCAGAGTAGTTCCCTATTAACTCTTGCTGAACTGCAACTCCCCCTTCCCCACCTGCCTAGCACCCCCCCCCCAGCTTAGAGAATGGGGGTGGTGGGGCTGTCCTGGGGCCCTCTTGTCCATGCCATGGGGCTATCTGCCAGAAGCAGGGCGTTGCAGGCCTCCCCCCAGGTCCCCTGTGGGCTTCACAGCTGTATGGATGGTAGATAGAAGTGGAGCCAGCAGTTCAGGGGCTGATTCCATCTCACTGTGGATCGCCAGGCCCCAGGGTAAGGGCCCAGCCCTCACTCAGCCAGTTCAGTGCCCTGCAGGTCAATTGTAGGGCCATTAACTTTCTTCAAATGCTGGGCCTGTAGGCAACTCTAAAAGCCACCCCTGCGCCAGACCATCAGTGATTAGGCTAGGCATGGAGCTGTAGGGATCTTCCCAGTGAGGATATCTGGGAAGTTTGGACAGCATGTGCCCTCTTTTTTTTTTTTAAAAAAAGATCTGATTTTCTACTCCCATGGGTAGTTTACACTGGAGAATTTTGTAGCTGGGTTATTTTATAAAGCAAAGTAGACTCCCTTAATTTATGTTTTGTAAATTCAGATTTCCTTATGTCAAGCTTGCCTAAAGAGGTAAACACCTGCTCACTGATGTTCACATGTCCTTCCTAGACAGAAGAGACTGGAAGGTCTGACAAAGGACCTCCCAGAGAGACCAGAGTGCAAGACCAGGATACAAGGGCACTGACGCCCAGGCCTTGGTGGAGGCCCCAGGGCAGGGTCCTGTCTCTTAAGGTTTTCTGACAAGAAGTTCCTCATGATCTGTTGCTTCCTTTACTCCAAAGAGGGTCAAACCCATGGGTGCCAACTCGAAATACCCTTTAAAGCTGATATAGTTTAGTGAACATTTCCTCTCATGGAGCTAAGCAGTGTGGTGGTTAAAGTGAGTTCAGTAGCTGGGTCTTCTATTCTTCCATCTCCAAGCTCCTTGATGGGCAGTAGTGAGGCTATGGGCTTTGTCCCAGACTGGGGCACCAACAGAGCCAGCACATGCCCTGCCCTTTCTTAGTTGCCCTCCCCCAACTCCTTCCAGAAACTCATCTGGAACACCAAGTTCTGTGCAAGGCCGTGCTAAGGCCAGCGGCCAGCGTGGGGCAAGCTGCCAAAATAAACCTCTGTGGCTGTCCTACAGTGTGCTCACCTCTCTAGGGTACCCTGAGAGAATGTGTCTGCCTCTTTTACCCATTCTTTCATTTTCCAAGTAGAAGCTCCATCAGATCTCCCTCCTCCCCTTGGCGGCTCTGGCTACTTGAGCTCAGCTACAGGGCCAGAGTTAACACTGTGGGGGTTTGCTTCCTGGGCAAGGAGGTGGGGAGGAATCCATTGAGTATGTGCTCTGGGAAAGGGGTTGGATATGTGGAGGGGTGAAAGACAGCAGCAGCAAGGGGAAACAGGTGGGGTACAGGCACATAACTCACTCCAAGCCTAAGCCAGCGTCCGGTTTTCTTCTTTCCCTAATTTGATGGGTTTCTCTCTTTAAGACATAACCCAAAATCATTTTGGAAAATCTGGAAATCAGAAAAATAGACGGAGAAGGCATCTCCTATTTCTTCTATATAAAAAAATCTTGCTATTATTAGTTTGGCATATTTCTTTATGACCTTTTTAGATAACATAGTTAAGGCTATCCATTTTTTAAGAGTGGTCAGCTGATCACCTAGGTTTCTGGTCTACTCTATGCTACTGTGGAGCAATAATGACTCAGGCAGAATTCTCATCTTCCATGGTTCCCAGCTGATGCACCTCAGACAACCACTATGCATTTGTCAGTGGAGTCGTATATGTTGTGATGAACGCTGAACTCTCAGAGTAAGACTAGGAAGAAAGACCTGCTAATGTATTTCCTAACATCATCTAGTACAGACCCTATGGAACACAGTGGTCTGGTCTGTTGTGCCATTAGTCTGGGGCTGACTCACAGAATTTAGCAACAAGGCCTATCGTATCCTCAGGAGCTTCTTCAGCCCACCGTAGGAGACCACCCGCCTATCCAGGTCCAGATATGTCTCTGTTTCGCATCATGCCTGCTCTTGCATTGATCTTAATTCCTCTAGCCTACTGTGTCCCCTTTCATGTCCTGTGTGTCCCAGACATCACTGAAGTCCAGGCATCTTCCAGGAACTCAATAGTACCTTTGTGCAAATTAGCCAGAAATGAGGTCCTTGGGGGAAGACAGCTGTATGGAAGGTGCACACTTGGGAGTGGAGAAACCTAGATTTCTGCTCCCACGCCTCACCTCCCTGGGGAGCCTGTGTGGAGGTACAACCTCTGATGGCCTTTTCTGACACATCCTACCTCAGGCACCAAACCTTGTCAACTCTTTCAAATTCCTGCCCTCATGGGAGGTGGGTGGGGAAAGGAAACCATCCTTTAGTAATTGTTCATATTAACATACATTTTACTTTGCAAAGCATCTCTACCTCTGAGGCAGGATTAATGGTAGTGCTAAAAGTCACAATTGGAAGGGGCATCTGAGGGAATTAAGGCCTAAAGAAGTAACTTACTAGATAGAGGGCATTAGGCTAGAACAGTCTTCCCCCTTGGACAAAGGTCAGCAGGTTCCTGAGTCTGTTGGTCATCAGTGGGAAGCCTGAATTACTTACAATATTGCAAATTTGATTTGATTTTTGTAATGAATTTATAATGAATTTCAAAGTGCACAGGGCGTTTCAGTCCTGGCAGCAGGGTCTCGCCTTGGGTGGGAAGAGCACAGGGAAAGTGTCAGGATGCTGAGTGACGCAAGCAAACTTCCCTTTGCTGACAACCAAACCAACCCAAGGCCGCTGAGTCAGTTTTTTTTTTTTTTTTTTTTCTGAGTCAGTTTTGACTCATGGTATCCCCATGTGCTATAGAGTAAGAACTGTGCTCCATAGGAGTTTCTTGGAGATCACCAGGCCTTTCTTCCACGGCACTGCGGGGGTGGGGGAGGGTTGGAAACCTTCAGGTTTGTTGTTTGACCACAACATTTGTTGACCACAAACCACTTATACCACTCTGAGGACCCTGAAACCAGTGATCTCAAAGCTCGCTTCAACCTTGCCTGGCGGTGCTGTGTGATTCCCATTCCCCGCTCCCTACCCTGTCTGGTTGACTATGGTCAATCTCCCCGGACCCTTTTCTCTTATATTCTGTGAACACATTGCATCATTCCTCTTGCCTGAGTCCCAGGTTCATTTGACTCTATCTTCAAGACTTGTAGAGTCAAGTTATTAAAATCACCCATGAGTAGGAGAGTCTAGAGAGTGCTGGCCCCTGGGAACCCACCCCTTTCTCCCACTGACCCCCATCTCTCCCCAATCCTGCTCCAGCAGACAGGCCCACTGCCGGCCCAGTGGTCACCATGACAGAAGTTGGTTGGTGGAAGCTGACTTTCCTCCGAAAAAAGAAATCCACTCCCAAGGTGCTGTATGAGATCCCAGACACCTATGCCCAAACAGAGGGGGGCACGGAGCCCCCACGGCCCGAGGCCGGGGACTCCACCAGCGACTTTAACACCCGCCTCGAGAAGATTGTGGACAAGAACACGAAGGGCAAGCATGTCAAAGTCTCCAACTCGGGTCGGTTCAAGGAGAAGAAAAGAGTTCGGGCCACACTGGCAGAGAACCCCACCCTCTTTGATGACAGGGAGGGCAAAGGACAGTGAGGGGGGCCAAGGAGGATACTAGTGCCCCTCAGCCTTGTGACACCAGCGGATTTGGGACAGGAACAGGGCACGCTGCTCAGACACTGTGAGGCAGTTAATGGCCACTGTCTGGCTCAGCTTTTTATGTGCCCAGCTTTATTTAAGACCCAGGAGAGCTCAGTGTTTTCCTACCCTCCCCCAGTTACAGACAAGGACGGAAATGTCCACGCTGCCAGTCTGCAGGAAGACAGTCTGCCATGAATCCTTGGCAGTGCCTGAAAGCAGGTGTCACATCAAGGAATGGAGAGAGGCCAAATACCCTCCCTCCCAGTGCCAGGGTGAGTTTGAATTGCTGCACCCTCTTCTGTCTCTACCCTGACCTAAGCTGAGGAGAGCACATTTTCCAGAAGCCACGTGATGTGATGGGAGGTTGGTTTCCTCAGAGCCAGAGGCTGAGACAAAGAAGCTGAACTTGCGCTTCCTCCCAGCACAGTGGTAACCTTCCTGGAGTTCTGCCACCAGCAGCCTCTCACTCAATGGGTGCAGAGACCAGATTAGTTGGTTCCATGAGTTCCTGTTTTGGCCACCACTTACGTGGGTGTCAAACCACCTACCCTCAAAGGGAAGCCACACTGACCCCAGGATCCCAACAGGTGAAAGAATGTGGGAGCTGAAAGTCGTGTTTTCTCCTGTCAGACCCCTGACTAGTACTTATGATGGCCCAGCCCTAGAGATGAGTCTTGGGGCCTTGAACTTTGTTTAAAAATTCAGTCATAGATTTCTCTTTGTAATAAACAATGCTACAAAAGCAGACAACCTATGGTTCCCTTGTTCTGCATTTATTGAGGGAACTATTTTCACGTCTTTATCTCCCAAGTGGAGTGGAACTTTGTGCTCAGACCCTTTTCTTGCAAGCACTAAGGGTGTCCAGGTCTCCCTCAAGTTGTTGTGCCTCAATTTACCCAGATGACCACTCAAGACTCTCAGGATCAGCAAGGAAGCCTTTATTAGCTGGCCAGCGACTACAGCCTCCTTAGCATCTCAGGGAGGAAGAGGAAGGAGCTAGTTACACGTTAGTGGTCACTTCCTTCTGGCCACAGAGAGGCCATCAGGGGTTCCAAGAGAGTAGGGCAGACCTTTGGTGACAGACCTCCAAGTCACCATGGTTTGGATTGGGAATCAAGATTCAAATTTTCATTCCATTCCTTAGTACCTGAGCAATCTTGGGAACATTAGAAAACAAATTTCCTCTGAGTTTGTTTCGTTCTTAAAATAATACTTCACAGGGAGAGGTCAGTAATAAGTGGCTGTCCCACAGTAAGTGTTCAGTTAAAAATTTATTTCCTTTCTCCTTACTTTAAAAATGAATTCCACCATACCCCCGCAGCTTCAGTTTAAGAGCGAGCGCTGTGTGTGTGTTATCAGCAGATGTCAAGCCAACTCCTGACTCATGGAGACCCCATGCACTCCAAACACTGCCTGTTCCTGAGCTGTCACTGCGATCAGGTATGGATCAGACAGCTGTGAGCTAGGAGTTTTCATTGGCTATTTTTCAGAATTATCAGGCGTTCTTCGTAAGTCCAGCCTTTTCTCAAACTACAGCAGCTAGGACTGGAAAAAATTGGCCAAGTCTTTAGAGTTTGTGGCAGGAACAGGGAGAGACCAAGGTGGCCAGCTAAACAATGTGGTCCTGCAGCCTCCAGGTCAGTTCTTAGCTGGGCCACCCCATCCCTGGGAGCTGTTGCTCAGGAAATTTATTACTAAAACAAACAGACTTGCACAAGGGGGCCTTTGTTAGGGAGCCTCACCCAGGCCAAGGGACCTCTGAGAAGGAGGGAGGGAGGTTAGGAAGGGAAGGTAGGGTTAGGTGTGCTGGCTTCCCCAAGACCTCTTCCCTCATCCTTCCCCACCACAGGGGACTTTCTAAGGATCTGCCAATCCATCCTGTGAGGTATGGTGCTGGAGGATAAGCACTGGACTGCTAACCACAGATTGCTAACCGCAAGGTTGGTAATTCAAACCCACCAACTCTGCATCTTGGAAACCCTATGTTGTTAAGTACTGCGGAGTCAGTTCTGACTCATAGTGACCCTACACAGGGTTTCCAAGGCTGCAAATCTTTACAGGAATTTTCAGCGTCATCTGTCTCCGGTGGAACAGCTGGTAGTTTCGAACTGTTGACCTTGAGGCAGCCAGATTGGTAACCACTACGCTACCAGAGATAGGGTCATTATTAGGACCAACTCAACGGCACTTAACACCAACCAATCCACACAGCCTCACGGAGCTCACTTTCCCCATACCCGCAGCCCTGGCCATTATTAATAGCTAACATTTAGAGAGCACTCGTCAGCCAGGGCCTGTGACAAAAGCTTTATAAGGTTCCTCCTTCAATCCTCTCATCACCCAAGACAGGATTTTTTACTCATGAAAATATCATGCACAAGCATAAGGTGCTTGGAAGACTAATGTCAGGTGCCTTCTATAGAAGGCGACGCGGAATAGGAGGGCAGTGTCTTGGCCACCAGAGGAAGGAGGGTGCCGTGTACTCTGGAACCAATGGGAAAAGCTAGCTGGCTTCAGGACTGCTGTTAGGCCTCCCATTTCAGCCCAGTTCTCTGAGGCTGGGGTAGATGAGGCTAGGTCTTGGGTCAACAACATTGCCATTTGCCCTAATGATATCACAGACATCATTACTATTCTTTGGTGACAGTCATCAATCCTTCTGCCTCTTGCATGTTGTGGTGCAGTGAATTGTTTAATGTCTGTTCTAGCCTTTGGAAACTCCCACCAAATGATTCAGTTGTGATTGTTAACAGGGTTAACTGTGAAAACTTGGAATTCTAATGTGTATAAAATGAACTGCTTCAGAAGCAGGAACAAGGGGATCTCACTTTCATTAAAGAGCTACAAGTGGAGTGTGTCCTTTGAGACCTCCTCAACCCAGGGACAGAAGGCTGCTATAATACCAGAAGAGTAGCCCCTACAAACCAAGAGCCAGAGCAACAGAACGATGGGCTTCCCAGCCCAGGGAGCAAGTATAATGGAGTGCGTTTGGGCAGAAGGCTCATTTGTGGACTGGGTTGCTGCCAGGAACTGAATTGGGGAGCTAGGTTTGCAGATCCATGGAGTTATAGTTGTGTGCCTAGCGGAGTAGAGGGTCCTCTGGGCATGGATCAGCAGCAGGGCAGAGCCAAGCCAAGAGGCCGAGGGCCAGTGACAGGCCTGCAGTAGGAAAGGCTGTCCTGACTGAAATAACTGTGCATTTTCTGGTCCTGACTTGTAGCCTGTTAACTTCCTTAATAAGCCCCCATAACTGTATGATGTCTGAGTTTGTGACCATTGCAATAGATTATGAGGCCTAGCTGAGTAGTTGTTGTTGTTGTTAAGTGCCGTCGAGTCGGTTCCGACCCATAGCGACCCTGTACAGGGTTTCCGAGGGTGTAAATCTTTACGGGAGTAGAAAGCCTCATCTTTCTCCCGCGGAGCAGCTGGTAGTTTCGAACTGCTGACATTAAGGTTCGCAGCCCGATTCATAACCACTACGCTAAAAGAAATGGCTGGTAACATTTTTGAATATGGTAAGGCTGCTCCACAGCTCCAGTAGGATCTCCGCAGCAATCTTCCAGGGAAACGCCACTTAGAAATTCCTACATTGGAGCGGGGGTGGGGAGGAGAGGGGGGCACTCAGCAGATTGGGCGTGTAGGGTACGAAAATTAGCTAAAGGAAGGCCTGGCTGCCTGAGGTCAGAGCTGAGGTAGTTGCAGGATTTCCCGAGGAGGAACTGAGAGTGCAGATATGTGCAGGAACTGGGAGAGGCTACGGGTTACTGACCACAGTTTCACTGGGACATCACCCAAGGTGGGGGCTGGGGGAGCAGGAGAGGCGGCTAGAACTGGCCCTGGATGCCCAGAAGGGGCCAACCCTTGCAGCTAGCTCCCCCTGCTGGAGGTCCAACCTTCCTGGGGAGGAAAAGGGAGGGAGGAGGAGACTCCCATTCCCTCATTTCCCTCCTTCCAGACAAGACCAGGCCAGGTTGAGCAGTAACATCACATCAGCTAGCGCTACGCTTTTATTACAATCTTGGCACCGTAAATGATGGAGAACTGGAAAGGAGGAGCTGAAACCAGGCTCAAAGTTGGGGAGGACATACAGCCCCCAAGTATAAGTGCTGCACTCCACACACAAACATGCATATACATACTCTTACAATGCACTGCCTGAGGACACAAAGGACAAGGTAGGAAGGGGATCCTCTCCTGCAGATGACCACAGGGTTAATGTGCTTTTATGCGGCACTCAGGTTTAGGGGGATCAACACAGGAGACGTTGCCCTTGGAGGAACCCAATTAATACCAGACGCTGAAGCACACGCCCAAACAGCCAAACAAAGTGCAGTTTACAGAATGGCAAGTTCAATGCCAAAGAGTGCAAATAGTCAGTGCTCTGATCCCAGCTTAGTCACAGCAAACATTTACCAACCTGGCTCCTCTCCACAGCAGCACACCTCGCCTCCAGGCTGTCCCTGGTCACCAGGTGTGTGCTCAAGGATAACAAATACATTCAGCACAGGCCTCAGCTCAGCTTATTATAGACTCACAGGCTGTGAGGGGGCGGGGGCAGGGGAAGGTGAGGGTTGAGGCTAGTGCCAGTCACCTGGGTGGGGGGTGGTCCAAGTGTCTGCATCTCTTACTGGGTTCCCGGGGGGATGCTGATGCTGTTGGTCTGTGGACCACATTGTGAGTAGCAAGGATCCAGACCCATAGGTCTCAAACTTGACTGACCAACAATCCCTGAGTCAGGGAGCTTTGAAAAATCCCAAAACCCAGGAGTAGGACTTTTAAAAGCTCCCCAGGTGGTTGAAAACCACAGACCCAGGCAGTCATCCTCAGCAGAAGTACAGTACGGAGCAGAGTTGTGAGTAGTTTGAAAGGCATCATCTTTATTGTTGTTGTTAAATGCTCTTGAGTCAGTTCTGACTCATCGTGACCCTGTATAGGGCTTCCAAGGAGTGGCTGGT